GAAATGTTTATAATTTTTGTATAAAGTTTGGAATTTGGACTTATGTGGTTTTTACTAGACAATGAGCTATGGTTTTATAGGAAAAAATTAACATTAAACAACAGAAGAAAAAAGTCAAGACTGATCAAAATGTTAAGGTGCTATCTTTTGTTGCGAGCTGTACATATAATTATAAAATTTAATTCCAAACATAAATTATGTAAATTCGCAGCCTTCATTTAAACAAACATAACTCTTTTGTACCAATTTTACTTGTAATGAATAAAAAAACCTCTACGTAACAAAATTAAAAAGAAAACTGTTGCAACTTGAACTCCACATAGCACGTTGCAGTTATCGTCGAAAAATAAAAAAAACTATACAATCAAACTTCTAAATAAATGCGTGAGTTTTCTTTGGGCACAAGTTTTTGCTTCTTTGCTTTCAATCAACAACAAATTTGCACAAAATGAGCCCGCAATATACAAAGCAGATGCAATTGATTTATTTTTTTTATTAAGAATACGCCATTTTTACACAACAGAGAAAAAAACAGAATTTAGAGGTCAGCGCAACACTTTATGGTCACAATTGCCGCATGCTCCAACAATCGTGTGATAAGTTTGGGGCAATTATTGTCACTATATTACTTTTCGCCAACTTACGGCAATGAGAATTGTATAAAAAGAGGCAACCGTGTGACTGTACAGAATTTCATTGGGAAAATTTTTTTATTGTACTCCAATACAGCACAATAAAAATTGTTCCAGATTGGTCCATTTGCGGCAATCGTGGGATCTCAGCTTAAGACTAAAAAATATTGTTCTTCATTCTTTTTTTTTTGATTCATAATTCATAAATCATTTTTTTAGTAATTTCTTGTTATTTACATGATTTCAGCCATTGGACTGCATTCATTTAGTAACTTTTTGCTAGTCATTTGATTTCAGCCATTGGAGAGCATTATTTTGCAGTACTTTGAATTTTTTTTCAGGAACTGAGAACGCGTTCTGGAGTTGGTTTAGTTCTGCATGAGCACAAAAGGTAATGTCAAAAAATGCGAATAAAACTCTCGGGAACGTTCTCAAGAAGAACAGAATGAGAACGAAAGTTTCGGGAACGTTTTCAATGAGAACGAAAGTACCGAGAACATTTTCAAGCAGGATGAAATAAGAACAAAAGTATTGGAAACGTTCTGCTAGAGAAAAAATCGAGAACAAAAGTTTTGATAACTTAACGCTAGGAATAAGAGGGACGGTTGCGTGTTGAGATGAGATATCGTTTCAGTGAAAACCATGACTGTCAATTCTGAGTCCGGAAAACTCTGGATCATTTAAAGTTCCAGATAATTCATTATTTGGGTGATCTGCCCATTTCTGTAAATTTTTTTCACTTTCTCTGCAAGAAAAGTTCGTGTCGTAAGTCTTTCGTTGACTTAATTTGCATAACTATATTTCAGTTCTTTTTTGATTAATTTTAATATTCTACCACTCAAGCTAATGGAACGCTATGTAAAAAATTATTTGTTTTCGCTTCCATTCTTCGCGGGGCTTAGTGAAGATTTGTTCCGGATTTGTTCTCAGTCAGAAAGTTCGTGAGACTTCAGCTCCTAAAATGTTCTTCCAGAGACTTTTATACTTTTTTTTAGTTTTTGTCGTATATGGTTCACAAATATAGAGAAATTGCTAGGCTTAACCGGTACCCGATTATTAAAAAAGCGTACCTTAAATATAACACATCCTTGCCATCTTCGTTCGCAGTATAAAGGCTTCTTTCGTTTGCAGAATACCCCACGCCGTGGAACGCTTTCTGTACATAATATTTATGTACATATTATATATATTATATTGTAAATTAGATGTATGTATATAATAAATACAAATGTATTTCATTGAAAGTTTCTGGAATTCATTGACATTTTCTAAATATTTTTATACCACTGGAGTTTTAATTAAGCTTTTTGTGTACTCATTTATTTTCTAAATAAGTAAGTATTATAATTCTATCAAGACCTGCACGCAAATATTGCTTTAGAATTTCATTATTCATTTCAGACTGCAAAAATGACTAATTAGTCATGAACAGGGAACGGATTTTATGGAAATTGCCTTTTTTCTGCTAACGAGATAGAGCATATGCGATTAAGAATATCCTTTAGCTTTCCCTGATTCCATATATACACATCTGATGTTGCCTTTTTTTGCATTTTTTAAGATATTTGCCTTTTTTTTGCCTTTTTTTGCCTTTTCTACCTTTAAAAAAGTGATTATAGCATTTACAATTTTTTTTTAAGATTAAAAAATATACACATTGCCCATGCGGCTTATAGAAGCGCAGAGACCTCTTGCCAAATTGGTGTTGGAAAAATTCAATGCCGTTTTCTCAGCTAACGAAGGCTTGGAGACAATAAGGGGTGTAGATAAAATTATAAAGGGCGAGGAAAACGCCCTTATTCCTGAGAATATGAACGTTTCAAACGCTCCATGTTTAAATTGGGCGCCGCTTGTATCAACTTACGTCGAGCACACATTTAGTACATTCAAGGCTTTTCTTCGCGAAAATCGAATGAAAATGCTGCCAGAAAACTTCAAAATGCATCTTGTGGTTCAATGTTACTACAACTATACAGATTAAAGTTTTATGAGTTAGAAACTCGAATGGATAAAATAGTCAAAGATTCAAAGTACAAATTTTTCATATAATGAAACTAGTTCATAGTTTTTCTCTTTCTACTTGTAATATAAACATTTCTAAAATAAATGTATTTTTTGATTGATCTTCGTATTTTCTGTCTTTTTTTAGTGCCTTTTCCTGCCTTTTCCGCTATTTCGTTCTGCCTTTTTTTGCCTTTTTTGCAACACCTAGTGCCTTTTCCTGCCTTTTCACTATTTTATTTTGCCTTTTCCAGCCTATTTCGTTATTTTATTTTGCCTTTTTTATAGGTTTTTAGGTCCTAAAAATCCGTTCCCTGGTCATGAATAAGAGAAAATACTAATGACTCCAACTTTGCAGTCTTTAGTCAAACATCTGGTTGTTTTGCTGCAGTTAAAAAGTGTTAGTCAGTGAATGTGACTGCAACGATTTAAAGTCACGACGACTGCATTCTTTAACACCTCTACTAAGTAGGTACACATGTGCGTGCATATCTATGTTTGTATGTATAGTTTTTTTAATGCTCAATAATTTCTTACAAAATTTCAACATGTTATACATGAAAGAAAGACCATACAAGTTTCATACTTTGTAAAAAATTTGAAAATTTCAACAAAGCTTTATGAAAATTTTAAATTTTTTAATCGGATTTATGGAGCAGTGCTTGGTGTTTTTATAGCACATTACACTTCAGTATAATTATAATAAACTAGCCAATGCCCGCTTGCTTCGCGGCGCCAAATAAGATCTTTGCGTTGGCCAATACAAAAATAGCGTTTAAAAGCAAAAGCAGTTTAAATTGAAACAACTAAAGAGCAGAATCCTCCTCACACATAGGCCAAGAATAGTAGTGCTGTTATACCATATGGAATAATAATCCCTTTCGATGTCATGAGTTTTACCGATGGTCTTATTTCCACCTGTAAGATCTCTGCCAAGCGTGCGTAATATTCTTCTATGGTCTTGCAACTTCAACATTGGTCCGTAAACAATGTAAGCCCATAAAAGTCCTTATAAGGAAACTAAGGAGCAGAGATAAGCGTTTTCAGTTATAGGAGGGCCAAGAATCCTCGCCCCCCACAGGATGAAAAGTTTTCCCGTACACTGACTAAATGAGTCGTATGATCTCTTAAATATCGTTCAAATGAAGCCAATGATATACCTACCGTGTTCCTTTTTTTACGGATGTGGTCGAATCTTTCCTTGTCAATTTAACAATTTGCCTTAATATTTATGAACTGGTTTCTTTGAGTCTTACTGCTGTACTAACGGCCGCCCCGAGCAATTTCGTCAATCGGAGGTAGGTGCAAGGTCGCATTTAGGGTGTATGGGGGCGTCAGGTAAAGGTGCGCTTACACAATGTTGCAGTCTTTACATGCATACTTAAATGAATCCTCCATTTAGCCGCTACAGCGCAATCCATTAGTAGCCTCTGGAAAACTACTGCTTGTCATGAAATCAATACGTATTATGAATTTAAATCAGATTTTATACAATATAGCGAGCTCGTTTTTAGGAAACGAATTTTTCATCATACAGGTAGCTCACTTTGCGAATTTGAACGAAATCGGTTTATAAATACGACTTTTATAAATAATTTGACTCGAGCGCCACCTAGCGGGCCTATTTTTGGTAAACGTATTTTCCATCATGCTGGTAGCTTACATTTTGGATATAAAAGAAATCGGTTCATAAATACGATTTTTATAAATAACTCGACTCCAGCGTCACCTAGCGGGTCTATTTTTCGCATACGTATTTCTCATAATGGAGATAGCAAACGTTTTAAGTTTGAAGGAAATCGGTTAATAAATACGACTTTTATAAATAGCTCGACCCCAGCGCCACCTAGCGAGTTTTCTGCTAGCCTATAATAGGACCATATATTCAAGGTATAACCTCTGAAAATTTGACTGACTATTCAGTAGTTTTTGAGTTAACTCCGAACAACGAAAACGGCTATTAATTTATACAGGGTGTCCCAGAAGTAACGTGCCAAACTTTAGGGGAAGGTAGGTGGGGGGGGGGATGAGCTCACTGATAAACAAAAAATTTTCAGGTAAAAGTGTCACCGGTTTTGAAATATTTACATTTTTTTCGAATTTAAATAAAATCGTGCCTTTTCATGTGTTTTCTTTAACTGCAACTACAAACCGGGCAATACTTAGTAAATTTTTTATGTAAAATACTTCCAGATAGTTGCCTCTCCATACTCAAATGCAATGTAGTTAAAATAAATTAAGGAACCATCATAAAATTAGGACTATTTCTGGATTTTTAACTTTTTGATATTTTCTTCCCCAAATTTGACTATCTCGGGTGAAAAAAATGTACTGAGCTATAACTTTACATTACATAAAAAAATTGCTCATTTAATAAAGATTTCAGAAAGGTGCCACACTTACTGTTT